GATGCTTTTGTTTATTTCGATGGGGTTAGGGACAGAAGGTTTAAGCAGGGAGAGATTCCCTTTCAGGTCCTATGGGTTGACCAGCCTGAGAGTGGATATTTATGGATAGGATTTTGTTTACATGGGTATTTAATTACATCATAGTTATAAATGCGTTTACATGAGTTATGAGGTTATCTGGAGTACCGACGGTGGTTGCCTGGGGCAGAGGGACCGTGAGATAATTTTACTGTCTTGATTGATATGGATGGATGGCTGCTGGACAGTTTTTCGCTCTCACACTCCATAGAGATTTATTCATAATTCATAGTAATGTGTTCATACTTCATAAACAGTTGTTCATATGTCATAGTAATGTATTTACACTCCATAGAGATTTCTTCATAGGTCATAGTAATGTATTCACACTTCATAAACAGGTATTTCATAGAAAGGTATTTACACTCTAGAGGAGAATGTTTTTGGGTTTAAGGTTAAGAATATTCAATGAGATAAATGGTTAATAGTCATAATCTTATTCTGTTTGTTTTCGAGACGTTTATTTCGTCTCGAAAGGGGGGAATATCGTATCTGAAGATTATGCCTTTGTTAAATGTTTTTCATGACGAAATGGAATGTTGGTTGTTCAGGCCAAAGGGGGGATGTTTTATGATGTTATTTGAAATGTGCCGCTTGGAGGGTGACGCCCGAGGGGAGACTGGTGATTGGCCAGAAGAGGGAGTAGCCCCTCCCTTTGCATTGTTTATAAATAGGAGTTAAACGATGAGACGACAGAACGGCCATATCAATCTGGGAGCCGTTCTCCGGACATCGCGAGTCTGTATCTATGCTGTAGATTCGTGATTTTAATAAAAGCCTCTAACACGATGCAGTATGGCGAACTCTTTGTTGACAGCGATAATTGCCACCATTCATCATATACGACACTATCACTAGAGTGAAAGCACCGCCAGCATTCAAAAGTGACCAAAACATCAGCCAGGAAGCATAGGAACTGAGAAGTGGTCTGTGGTCACCAACTGCAAAACCAGTCCTTTATTGGGGGTGTCTTGCTAATTGCCTATAATTTCCACCTGTTGTCTATTCCATTTGCACAACAGCATGTAAAATGTATTGTCAATCAGTGTTGCTTCCTAAGTGGACAGTTTGATTTCACAGAAGTGAGATTGACTTGGAGTTACATAGTGTTGTTTAAGTGTTCCCTTTATTTTTTTGAGCAGTGTATATATTTTTACTCATATGGTCATGTATAAGCCTAGATGGAGATGTGCCACTGACTACACTAAAGTGTAGCAATTGTAGGCCTACACTACAGTTGGCATTGCCATTTGGTTTGTATTCAGTCACTAGGGCTTCATTTTCCGTTGCAAAACATCTTGATACTAATGAAAATCACCCTGGTCCTGCAGAGCTACAGTGGTGTGCAGGGGTTTGCTCCGGCCAACACAGCACCAAAACACCTGGGGTGTATTCATTATGGAAACCATTTACCATTTAAGAACCAAACGGAAGCAAACAGAGCAAAATGAGAGTTTATTTTGGACAAATTCAGGTATGTCCCTCCCAGTTTCATTCCATTTGCTTCCATTTAAGAAATGTTTGTCAACAGCATCGGTGGAATGAATACACCCCTGATGCAGCTAATCATCTCAAGATCTTGATAAGCTCAGTTGAATTAAGTAGTTTTGTGTTGGGCTGGAGCTAAACTCTCCACGTCCAGTTGCTCTCCAATGATCACCAGGGTCGGTGACCATTGTTTTAATATTATTATTTTTTTTTACCGTTTTATACGGGTTTATGTAGTATATATGTATCACTTTACCCACTCTTTATTTTTTACCAATACATCTCGTCTGAGCTAAATGACAAAATTCTCCATCATTGAGAAGTTAGGATAGTCATTGGACTCAACAGTTTAAACCGATGTGGTTACGTGTTTGTGTTCCTTATTCCCTAAAGAGAAAGGAAATGCTATATTGTAAGGGGTCATGATTAGGTGATTTAGGTCTTATGTGTTAAGGGTTTAGAGTTTGTAAGTATACTTCAGAGAGAAGGGCACACAATGGACAACATTTAAAAACTCTTTGCAATGGAAAACAAAACATTTTCTTTGTGATTGGTCAAATCTAGCTAGTCCCTCCCTGTGTCTGTCTGTTTGGTGAATGAACACGACCCACATTGGGAATGCTGTGTCTCTGTATTCACCTTCCCCAAGGTCTGCCGAGTGCTGCTGTCCATCCCTTCCTCCATTACCCACACATCTGTTCCTTTCAGGGATTACTGGCAACATGTCTGTCTGTCTGAAACTCTGTGCTGATGACAGGCAGATTACAACCGCACTGCACCCTCTGAGAGAGATTAACCAATCAGGACCCAGACAGAGAAGGCAGGGATTAACCAATCAGACCACAGAGAGGGAGGGCAGAGGGATAAAGTGGTGCAGAGTGGGATTAACCCAGCGAGTTGAGTGCGTATGTAGTGTGCGTATTGAGTGCGCTATGGAAAACTCTCCAGTTTCCCTTTTACGTTTAAATGCTATACTGTATTATGTTTGTGTTCAAATTAACACTTCATCAGTTCACCCTCCTATGTTATTCATTCGCAACATTGTTAGATAAATATAATTTTGTTCCACTCTGAAAAATGAAGTTATTCTGTTCTATAAATGAATAGGTTACTCATTTTTAGAGTCCATATTTGTCCAAGCTTAAAGTAACAAATTGTTACTTTGTCACCTAATGAGAAATCTAGTCATCTTCAGACACTGTAAAATATGTTACGGAATCCGTTGTTTGCCATGTCTAGATTCCAACACACATTTGTAATGAAGATGCCTTATGGGCAAAGATAGAAACATTGCTGCAGAGTAACTCAGTGAACTCAGTGTCCATCTATTTTGACACAAACACACACACACACATCGCATACACATTGCATACACATTGCATACACATATTGTACTCACAAACAAGTATACACACTCACACAAATGTCAACTTGTGGTCAAATTGCATGGCATGTAACCAGGTCAACTAGGGATTACTGAGTTGTCAGAAGAGGGGGGTGAGGTGGAGTAGTGGGGGTGTGGAGGGAGGCAAAGGAGGATAAGAGGCTGGCTGGGATGAGGGAGAATAGATGGGTTCGAGGAGAGGGGTGGCATAAGGTAAGAAGTAAATGTTCTATGTGTGAACCTGAGGGACAATAGACAATACTTTATGTCACAGATGATAGCCTTGATTGTTCTTTGAACAATTATTGGAAGGAAAGAAATAAAGGGGACGTAAAGACATCTCTGAGTCACTCATTGTCCTCTATAGCAGAGTTTGAATTTAGCTGAAATATGTTTTACCCATGGCCTGTGTGTTTAAATCAGTTTCTAGTTAAGTCTTTCCAATATAGTATTATCATCAAGGGCGTCCTTCCTTCTTTTTATTGGGTATACTTTGCTTTTTTCAGGGAGAAAAGGAATGATTGAGACCATTGGTGGAGGAGATTGAGAGACATGTATAAGGAGAGACATACAAAGGGAAAGAAACTGCAAGAGAGAAGGAAGAGGAAAAGAGGGGGCGAGATAGACAGAGGAAGAGAGAAAACAGAGAGAGATCTAGGAGGGAATGAAGGAGAGAGAGAGAGAAGGAAAGAGAGACAGAGGGGGACAGAGGAGTAATCCTGACTAATTCACTTAGGACATTGCTAAAGGGAGGGTAAGAGGATTGGGCCACTCCAGAATCAGATCAGCAAAAATAACTGACAGCAAGACGCACACAAGAGCCATGTGTGCCAAGGGGGCAACACAACAGAAACTACACACACACAATATAAACCATAACAACATGGTGACTGTTATCATCAGAAGTCAACTGGTCACTTGTTTAGTTCTGGGTCAGTTTTGTACTTCAACTGAACCAATTTAAATTCTGAATAGGGAATACCAATACATTAAGTACAGTACGTTTGAACGCAAAAAACACTGAACCCCTTCATATAAATTGTGAAACCAAAATGTCACTCAAACTTGTAATCGCAATGACTATCGTTGGGCATAAATGTAGATTCAAAGTTAGCTTTAATATTTCACACAACAAACATAGAAGTACATTTTTTTTCATCAAAATGTAATAGCATTGATGCTAGCCTAACACCATAGTAACATGTTAGCTCCAAAAGCCTAAAAGTAACCAAATGAAGATTTAAATTGTAGCATAGATTAACAATGACTAAACTCAAATTAACACTGATGGTCTTTCAGAACAAAAAAGAGAGAGACTAAGAGAGTATCAAAGCTCTGTAAATTTGATCTATTGATATGTTTCTTGAAAACAGCAGAAAAAAGAACAGAGGAACGATTGAGTATAGCAGGGTTCTTCAATTCCGGTCCTGGAGGGCCGAAACACTTCTGTTTTTTATTTCTACCTGGTAGTTAATTGCACTCAACTGGTGTCCCAGGTCTGAATTAGTCCCTGATTAGAAGGAGAGGATGAAAAACAGAGGTGTTTCGGCCCTCCAGGACCGGAATTGAAGAACCCTGGAGTATAGCGTGGTTGTATCAATAGAATTCTCTTGAGGATGTCTTTCCATGACAGACCAATCAATGCATCTGAACCATGGCCTGTGTGTTTAAATCAGTTTTTAGTTGAGTGTCTTTCCCATATAGTATGATCCTCAGGGGCATCCTTCCCTTCTACTGTATGAGAAAGTAAATGGACCTGATACCCTGCATTCACAGTCAGGAGGTATCAATAATATCCCTGTGTCTCTCTTCTCCTCTCTCCCCTGAATGGAAAAATCATTCTACAGGGGTTGTAAAAAACAAGCTTACAAACGAGAAACCAAACTTACAAACGAGAAATAACCAAAACAAAGTCATCTGTCAGAATAATTTGATCGTATTTGATCGTATATCTGGCGAGGGCCTCATTCATTCACAACTCCTCCCACTCTTCTTCTTGTTCTTCTTCTTGTTCTTCTTCTTGTTCTTCTTCTTGTTCTTGTTCTTCTCTCTACAGCACCTGGAACTTCCACGAATTCTGGTCTTTGTGGTCCAGGCAGTCCATGGCACTGAAGCCCAGCTTCCACGCCTGCTGGTCTTTGTAGTCCAGGCAGTCGACGGAGGTGAAGCCCAGCGAAGCGGCCGTGCCGTAGCCCTGGGAGGAGAGCGAGGCGGGTGACTGGCTCAGCGAGCCCCCCATGGAGGGCACGGTGATGGGGCTGAGGGCGCCGTTGGCCGACAGCTGTGAGTGCATGGGCGACAGGTAGGCGCCACAGTCCAAGCCTGTGAAGTAGGAGGAGGTGCCGGCATAGCCCTGGGCGTAGGCCTGAGGTTGGCCGTAGCTCATGGGGTAGGCAGAGGGCCGCTGCATGCAGGGCGCCGAGCAGGCCAGAGGGTCTGGGAGTGGCGAGATGGCCGGGCTCCAGATGGAGACAGGTGCGTTGCCAGGGTTGTTGCCGCTAGGGGGCAGGGAGGGGCCTGATGGGGTGGGGGAGGGGCTGTAGGAGCCAGAGGGGTTGTTGGCTGAGGGATCAGCGCCGGTGCTGGGCTGGTCCTGGGCGGGTGACGCCTTCTTCTTGGGTGGGCGGGGCTTGGACTGGCCACTGCTCTGCTGCTGCTGCTGGCGGCACTTGGCGCGGCGGTTTTTGAACCACACCTGCAGAGACAGAGACACACAACACAACCCCTTAGAATAGAGAAAGACAATATGTGGAAATTCTGTGATTAGGAAAGTAAGTTGTTTGGTGGTGGGAAAAGGACACTATGTTACTACATCATTGTTGATATATCTGTCACTATGCCAATGTGCACCTACATACAGTGGGGAAAAAAAAGTATTTAGTCAGCCACCAATTGTGCAAGTTCTCCCACTTAAAAAGATGAGAGAGGCCTGTAATTTTCATCATAGGTACACGTCAACTATGACAGACAAAATGAGAAAAAAAAATCCAGAAAATCACATTGTAGGATTTTTAATGAATTTATTGGCATATGATGGTGGAAAATAAATATTTGGTCAATAACAAAGTTTCTCAATACTTTGTTATATACCCTTTGTTGGCAATGACACAGGTCAAACGTTTTCTGTAAGTCTTCACAAGGTTTTCACACACTGTTGCTGGTATTTTGGCCCATTCCTCCATGCAGATCTCCTCTAGAGCAGTGATGTTTTGGGGCTGTCGCTGGGCAACACAGACTTTCAACTCCCTCCAAAGATTTTCTATGGGGTTGAGATCTGGAGACTGGCTAGGCCACTCCAGGACCGTGAAATGCTTCTTACGAAGCCACTCCTTCGTTGCCCGGGCGGTGTGTTTGGGATCATTGTCATGCTGAAAGACCCAGCCACGTTTCATCTTCAATGCCCTTGCTGATGGAAGGAGGTTTTCACTCAAAATCTCACGATACATGGCCCCATTCATTCTTTCCTTTACACGGATCAGTCGTCCTGGTCCCTTTGCAGAAAAACAGCCCCAAAGCATGATGTTTCCAACCCCATGCTTCACAGTAGGTATGGTGTTCTTTGGATGCAACTCAGCATTCTTTGTCCTCCAAACATGACGAGTTGAGTTTTTACCAAAAAGTTATATTTTGGTTTCATCTGACCATATGACATTCTCCCAATCCTCTTCTGGATCATCCAAATGCACTTCAGACGGGCCTGGACATGTACTGGCTTAAGCAGGGGGACACGTCTCGCACTGCAGGATTTGAGTCCCTGGCGGCGTAGTGTGTTACTGATGGTTGGCTTTGTTACTTTGGTCCCAGCTCTCTGCAGGTCATTCACTAGGTCCCCCCGTGTGGTTCTGGGATTTTTGCTCACCGTTCTTGTGATCATTTTGACCCCATGGGGTGAGATCTTGCGTGGAGCCCCAGATCGAGGGAGATTATCAGTGGTCTTGTATGTCTTCTATTTCCTAATAATTGCTCCCACAGTTGATTTCTTCAAACCAAGCTGCTTACCTATTGCAGATTCAGTCTTCCCAGCCTGGTGCAGGTCTACAATTTTGTTTTTGGTGTCCTTTGACAGCTCTTTGGTCTTGGCCATTGTGAAGTTTGGAGTGTGACTGTTTGAGGTTGTGGACAGGTGTATTTTATACTGATAACAAGTTCAAACAGGTGCCATTAATACAGGTAACGAGTGGAGGACAGAGGAGCCTCTTAAAGAAGAAGTTACAGGTCTGTGAGAGCCAGAAATCTTGCTTGTTTGTAGGTGACCAAATACTTATTTTCCACCATAATTTGCAAATAAATTCATTAAAAATCCTACAATGGGATTTTCTGGATTTTTTTTCCTCAATTTGTCTGTCATAGTTGACGTGTACCTATGATGAAAATTACAGGCCTCTCTCATCTTTTTAAGTGGGAGAACTTGCACAATTGGTGGCTGACTAAATACTTTTTTTCCCCACTGTATGTAGGATCTTAATTTGATCCCACTGTTGCAAGAGAACATTCTTGCAATGCAAAAACGTGTAGTGTATTTGAGGTTTAAAAAGGCTTTACAACTTTAAAACTTGTAGTATATTTGAGGTTTTAAAAGGCTTCTGAAGTTTGTAATTTTCACTTTGAAAACTCAGACTTGATTTTCCCTTACGAAAATGTATCAACCCCTACAAAAATGGCCATTAATTACAATCGAGAGTTCAAAAGGTACTCGCACTCAAACCATGAAAAGGAATCATCCAAGGAGGCTGAGATGCAAAAATAATATATTTATTTAATCCATGCTTAAATTAAATATATAATTTTTGCATCTCAGCCTCCTTGGTTTATTCCTTTGTATAGTTTGAGTGCGAGTACCTTTTAAACTCTTGATTATAATGAATGGACATTTTTGTAAGGGTTTTTTCTCCTATGCACCACCCACCTTTCTTACTAGCCTGAGAGCAAACCCTCATACTGGCTTTCTACATGAATTATAATCCACATAATAAAACTGGCTCAAATTAAAGATCCTACATCTGTATACTCTGTGATATTATTTGTGTATCAAAACCGTACCAGATAGAACTGTGAGCTAAACTGTCACGAGTGTGGGATGTGTCTGTACAGAGCATTTAGTAGGCTACATGTCCTTCTACAGTCTCTACCACAATACTGGTGAATTGTACTCTCACATCTGAGAGCATATGCCACTATCTCTTTTATATATTTTCATATAGGCTATTTTAAGTATTCATACCCCCTGACTTATTCCACATTTTGTTGTGTTACAGCTTGAATTCAAAATGGATTTTTTCTCTCTCACACATCTACACACAATACCCCATGATGACATGTTTTTAGAACTTTTTGCAAATGTATTGAAAATGAAATACAGAAATCTCTAATTTACATAAGTATTCACACCCCTGAGTCAATCAATACATGTTAGAATCCCCTTTGGCAGCGATTACAGCTGTGAGTCTTTCTGGGTAAGCGTCTAAGAGCTTTGCACACCTGGATTGTACAATATTTGCACATGATTATTAAAAAAATTCTTCAAGCTCTGTCAATTTGGTTGTTGATCATTGCTAGACATCCATTTTCAAGTCTTGCCATAGATTTTCTAGCTGATTTAAGTAAAAATTGTAACTAGGCCACTCAGGAACATTCAATATGTCTTGGTAAGCAACTCCAATGTATATTTGGCCTTGTGTTTTAGGTTATTGTCGTGCTGAAAGGTGAATTTGTCTCCCAGTGTCTGTTGGAAAGCAGACTGAACCAGGGTTTCCTCTAGCATTTTGCCTGTGCTTAGCTCTATTCTGTTTATTTTTATCCTAAAGAACTCCCTAGTCCTTGCCAACCACCAAGCTTGAAAATATGAAGAGTGGTACTCAGTGATGTGTTGTGTTGGATTTGCCCCAAACATAACACTTTGTATTCAGGACATAAAGTTCATTTCTTTGCCACATTCTTTGCAGTTTTACTTTAGTGCCTTATTGCAAACAGGTTGCATGTGTTGGAATATTGTTATTCTGTACAGGCTTCTTTTTTTCACTCTGTCATTTAGGTTAGTATTGTGGAGTAACTACAATGTTGTTGATCCATCCTCAGTTTTGTTCCTATCACAGCCATGTAACTGTTTTCAAGTCACCATTGGCCTCATGGTAAAATCCCTGAGCAGTTTCCTTCCTCTCCGGCAGCTGAGTTAGGAAGGACGCTTGTATCTATGTGGTGACTGGGTGTATTGATACACCATCCAAAGTGTAATTACTAACTTCACCATGCTCAAAGGGATATTCAATGTCTGCTTCTTTTATTTGTACCCATCTACCAATAGGTGCCCTTCTTTGCGAGGCATTGGAAAACCTCCCTGGTTTTTGTGGTTGAATCTGTGTTTGAAATTCACTGCTCGACTGAGGGACCTTACAGATAATCATATGTGTGGGGTACAAAGATGAGGTAGTCATTAAAAAATTACGTTAAATATAATTCCATCATCATTAGACCGTACCTGTACACGAGACTCGGGGAGGTTGATCTTGAGGGCCACCTCCTCCCTCATGAAGATGTCGGGGTAGCGGGTCTTGGAGAACATGGCCTCCAGGATATCCAGCTGGGTGCGTGTGAAAGTGGTGCGCTCGCGACGCTGCTTCCGCGGGGTGGCTGAGAAATCCAGAGACACAGAGACTGTGTGATAATAATGGTATGATGGAATGGCATTAATGGACAGTAGCACTCCTCAGTGCTCAAAGTGATTGACATTCACATTGCATTTCATTAGGCTTGCATGTCATACAGTTAATTGGAAAAGGGATGTAAGTATATCTGTTGATAACAGTGGTATTGGTTTCAATATCTATCATGACCACTCTCTATGATAAAACAATGAGTCATTGTGCAATGTTATAGCCTATAGTTTCTATTATCTTTATGGTATTTTGAGATATTCAAATTAATCATAGCAGGTATTAGCCAAGTAATAGAAAAAAGACCAAAGAAAAAGAAAGACAACTATGCTAATGTTGGCTATGTGAAAACTATTAGTTTCCTGACTAAAGGCTTTCCCCATATATGGGAAGATATGGGTTAGGCTAAATGGTGATTGTGTGCTAGTTGAACAAGTGTTACAACTGGAGATTATGGTAATGGCAGATGCAAAAATTGAAATTTTGACAGAGAAATGCATAGCCGACTGTAAAGGAATACTCTGACATTTAGCCAACTTGGACTATCAACACTGTTTTCATTTTATTCTCTATTCTTTTCAAATCTCACAATGATTTCATTTTGTCTTTTTGAATAGGAATCGCTATTATTTGCTACTAGCCTACTCTTTGTTGAATATTGTCATGCAAACGAGTCACAGAATAATCTATTATTAGTAGTATTGATGTTATTATTATTGATATTATATAATTGATATTATTGTTGTTGTTGTTGTTGTTGTAGTTATTATTATTATTATTATTATTATTATTATTATTATGTGATGTTATTATACATTATTAAAGGGGCTGAAAAATCCATGGTGCATGGACTTTATGCATGCACTGCCCACTGTTTTACGCATGAGCCACGTCATGCTTTAAAATACAAAAATATAAATGCAACATGTAAAGTGTTGGTCCCATGTTTCATGAGCTGAAATAAAATATCCCAGAAATGTTCCATACGCACAAAAAAGCGTATTTCTCTCAAATGTTGTGCACAAATTTATTTACATCGCTGTTAGTGAGCATTTGTCCTTTGCCAAGATAATCTATCCACCTGACAGGTGTGGCATATCAAGAAGCTGATTAAACAGCATGATCATTACACAGGTGCACCTTGTGCTAGGGACAATAAAAGGCCACTCTAAAATGTGCAGTTTTGTCACACAACACAATGCCACAGATGTCTCAAGTTTTGAGGGAGCGTGCGATTGGCCTGCTGATTGCAGAGATGTCCACCAGAGCTGTTGCCAGAGAATGTAATGTTAATTTCTCTACCATAAGCCTCGAACGTTGTTTTAGAGAATTTGGCAGTACATCCAACTGGCCTCACAACCGCAGACCACGTGTAACCACGCCATCCCAGGACCTCCACATCCGGCTTCCTCACCTGTGGGATCGTCTGAGACCAGCCACCCTGAGGAGTATTTCTGTCTGTAATAAAGCCCTTTGATTGGCTGGGCCTGGCTCCCCAGTGGGCGGGCCTGGCTCCCAAGTGGGTGGGCCTATGCCCTCCCAGGCCCACCCATGGCAAAGCCTCTGCCCAGTCATGTGAAATCCATATATTTAGGCCTAATGAATTTATTTCAATTGACTGATTTCCTTATATGAATTGTAACTCACTGAAATTGTTGCATGTTGCATTGATATATATTTTTTACTATATATAAAATAAAATAAAAACATTGGTAATTAGAAAAAAGGTGGTAAATGCTTTATTATCTAAGTGTTGAAAGTGCGGGGGCAATGGAGATAAACAAAATGGTGCAGTTTGAGGCCATGTGGCGGAGAATGGTATGGGCGCTGGAGATTGGGGTGTGAGCAGGTGGGTCTGGGCAGGGGTCATGTTGTCGTCGTTTGTATGTGTATGTTTTGTATTGTAACAAAAAAAGTTATATCAAATCTTACAGATTTTTTTTTTTAAAGGTGGTAAATGACAATTCAAAACATTGTAATATTATTATACTCACATGGGTATCCAGCGGTGGTGTGTAGCAGGTCCATCCCAGACATGTTCATGGCGTAATGGGGTTGCTTAATGTAGGACATCATCCTTGCACCGGGCTTTTATGCCTTCTCGCTCACTTGGTCTTCTCTCTGAACAGACACACACGACCGGACTTGGCAGACTTGGCTATTTCCCACCAGTCCCTCTCCGTCGGTAATGTCTTGAAGTTTAGGTCCCGCTCCAAGTCGACCTCGCCAAGTGACAAAGCTACCTTGAGATGTCTCAAAGTTATTTTAATTTTTTTATTTTTCCTCTTACTCTTTCTCACTTGACTTGTCGAAAACACAAAAAATGTGAAGTGCAATTCTCGTGACAATTGCGCACCAGAGTTTATAATATAGTAGAGCGCGCGGACCCTTCTATTTTGGCGCGCCAGAAGCAGGTAAAGAGGCGCGTGCTGCGGGTGAGCTGGGTGATGCCTACACTGACTTATTTTACAGACACGGTGAGCTAATTAAAGGTACGAAGTGGACGCACAGAACCCCCCCCCCCCCCCCTCCCTCTCTCTCGCTCTCGCTCTCGCTCTCTTTCTCGCTCTCTTTCTCCCTCTCTCGTCTCTGCCTATCCCACTTTTTCGTATAGTAGAAAACGAAATTTGTCACATTTTGATTTTCGCATTTATCACATTTTCATGGAACAAAATCAGCATTTGCTGATGTATACGCCCTGGGCTGATTTATCTTTGGTTAGGAATGGGTTGGGTAAAAACATTTTTTGTTGTTGTTGTGTTGAACATATGCCTATTTCAAACTATACATTTTGAGGGCTGTAGCAAGAAATAATATTTAGTAGTCTACTTTTTTAAATGCTGATGATTTATCAACGCCAACTGAACATTCGTTCTCTAAATATTTGAAATCAAGACATAATATAAAAAATTATACAGTCTAGTACATATTTGGCCTAGGCCTATATTAATAAAGTAATTAAAATGACTGAATTGAGTCCATGGTTAATAGATTGCATTAATCAAAAATTAAATTCCCATTAAATAGGCCTAACATTTTACGTTTCAATTTGTAATTATAATTTGAAAATCAATGAGAAATAAGTTAAAGTTGGTCCACAGTAATTTCGATTAGCCTACTTTGGACTCCAATTAAAACGTTGATTTAATCAACTATCGTCAGAACCAAGATTTTATTCATAACTTCTTTTGATTTACGATTTTTTGTGATAGGCTGAAACGGTTAAATATTTCATATTCGTTTCATTTGTCCTGTAAAAAACAAGTTTTTTTGCGTGGTTTTCACAGAATATTTTTTTGTAGAGTTATGTTGGCCTAACTAAACTGCATTTTTATGTAGAACATGGTTGACAATGAACATGTTGCCGATAAGGTTCAATGTGTGTGAACATTTTCAGAGTCCCTGATTTTTTATTTTTATTTTATTGCTTTGGTGCAATTTTCACAAGTATGTGGTAAATGTTCACAACTCTTACTGCAAAAATCTAAACAGATAATCAAAAAGGCAGTTGTTTCAAAAGCACATTTTCAATTGACTAAGTACAACACACAAAATCATACAGCCACTTTTTCACCAAACTTAATCAGTGCTTCATCTAGAAATAGGCCTACATGTTTCACATTGCAATACATGTTCATATAAAGTAATTGCCTTCCACAATGCAATTCTCACATTACTTGATAGGATCCTATGAATTAATCCGACTGCTCTTAATTGATAATCATTTAACCGTTTGGTAAACATATTGATTTTAAACTGGTTTGTCTATGTATGCCTATAATGTATAAACATATAAAGTATGATATATACTGTAATGTGTTATTATGATGATGATGAATATAGACCTGACATAGGTCTGGATTGATGTCATTGCATGCCTCATCCATGGCCTGAAGGAAGGTGTTATGCTCATGGGGATTACAATCATACATCTTCTACCTGTATTGTAATCATGTATTGTATTTTACTGTATTGTATTGTACTTATGTATTGTAGTGCTCCTGTACGTGACTCAGTTCGTTAGAGCACTAGCAACAGCATAGTTGTCGGGTTCGATTCCCACTATAGTCACATATGAACATTTGTGGACTCTGTTGCCACTTTTGGTAAAAGTGTCTGCTACGTAAATGGCATATATTATGGTATTACAGTATTGTATTGGCCAATGCAACTTTAGTAAAGCAGTGTGACCCACCTCCCCATCAAAAAGACCCCAGCAACTTTCTTTTGGATAGGGGATGCATTTGTTACATACAGTACATATATGATCTTGTCAATATCAGATTTACAAATTTTAAGTGATTATCAATTAAGAGCAGTCATATTAAGCAATAGTAAAATGTATTTTAACAAATGAGTCATATCAAAAGTAATGTGAGCATTGCATTGTGAAAGGCAATTACTTTATATTAACATGTATTGCAATGTGAAACGTTTTTCTAGATGAAACACTAATAACATTTTGTGAAAAAGTGACTGTATGGTTTTGTGTGTTGTACTTAGTCAATTGAAAATGTGCTTATAGTTTTGAAACAACTGCCTTTTTGATGATCTGTTTTGAATTTTGTAGTAAGAGTTGTGAAAATGTACCACATACTTGTGAAAATTGCACCAAAGTGATTGAAAAAAACTGTAAAAAAAAAGCTTTTAATATGAAACTTGCTGCGTTATAAGTGTTACCAGTTTGGAGTTTTGTAGTAAGAGTTTTGAAAATTCACCACGTACTTGTGAAAATAGCACCAAAACGATTGAAAACAACTGTAAACAGGATGGTGATTGTGGCACAATCTTCAATATCTTCTTCTGATGAATGGTAATTTCAATTATATAACTTATGCTTTATTAGCATATTACAACTCGTAGCCCAAATGTCCAAAATGTATATTTTAGTTTATAGCCTGGCTGAAACTCAGGATTGTGGCTTCAACTTTGATTCTAAATTGCAACTCAAGGTTTTCAATCAGTTATTGAACAGGTGCATCACACATTGAATTGCTATTCATGAAATCAAGCCTTTCACACATTCAATGACACATCATCAAAAGATTACAGTGAGCTGTAATAAACCAGTGTAAAAACAAACACACACACACACACAAACACACAGATTCACAAAGACCCACAAAGCTCATTTGATTTAGCTATAATAATATGCTTTATCTGAAAAGTAAGTATCTTATCTCTAGATAAAGTCAGGCAAGAGAGAGCAATCCATTCAGTGGCAGAGGGAGAGAGCAAGGATAGAGAGAATGAGCTATCAGCTGAAAGAAAAAAGAGAAGTATAGACAACTTGGACAGACAGACAAGAAGACAGAATGATTTGTAAGTATAAAGACAAACATTCAGACAGGTGTTGAGATGTACAGACAGTTGGCAGACAGACAGACAGACAGACAGAAATGAAGAAAATATAGATATCTTCTGCACATGCAACTCAAAACAATAAAAGTTACAACAAAATAATACTTTACATACAGTGAGGGAAAAAAGTATTTGATCCCCTGCTGATTTTGTACGTTTGCCCACTGACAAAGAAATGATCAGTCTATAATTTTAATGGTATGTTTATATGAACAGTGAGAGACAGAATAACAACAAAAAAATCCAGAAAAACGCATGTCAAAAATGTTATAAATTGATTTGCATTTTAATGAGGGAAATAAGTATTTGACCCCTCTGCAAAACATGACTTAGTACTTGGTGGCAAAACCCTTGTTGGTAATCACAGAGGTCAGACGTTTCTTCTGCACATGCACATGCAACTCAAAAACAATAAAAGTTACAACAAAATAATACTTTACATAGACAGAAAAGACCAATCACTAAACTCATGGAACAAGCAAGATGGAACAACAACCTTATTTTTGTGGGCTAATGTCATTGATGCCGTGTGTGTGTGTGTGTGTGTGTGTGTGTGAGTGTGAGTGTGAGTGTGAGTGTGAGTGTGAGTGTGAGTGTGAGTGTGAGTGTGAGTGTGAGTGTGTCAGTGCCAATGTGTTGGTCAACAGTTCAAGCTAAGAGAAAATTAACTACGTGGTTGTGGCTTTTGTTAGCTGTCGTTTTGGAGATCGTTGTTGACAAATATTTGGACAAATAAAGATTTGGTAAAATCCAATAGTTAACCACTTTTGTTAAAAAAAAAACGTTTTGTTTATTTATTGGCAGTCAGCAACTATTCAGTGTCTACATACTGTCGCCATACAGATGATACAGACAGGCAGCCATGCTAGATTGTGGAACAGCTGCAGGAGCAATTAGGGAAGTAGAGGAAGAGGACTGAGCCCCTGTAATCCTTGGCCACATGCTGCCACGTGCCCCACCCCACATGCACACACCATGCACACACACACACACACACACACACACACACACACACACACACACACACACACACACACACATACCTACATACATACATACATACATACACAGGAACACGCATACACATACACACACACACACCAAATTATGCTACGGGAGAGCTTCGGGATGAAATTGTTGAAGATGGTGCAGTTAGAGAGAGAGGGAGATGGAAACAGATTGAGGACAGAGTGAATCAGGTGGGAGAGAGAGAGAATGAGAGAGAGGGAGAGAGAGAGAGTGGAGAGAGAGACAAAAGTGATCAAAGAGAATCGGCTAAAGCGATCAAGAAAGAGGATAGGAAAGAGGAGGGGAGGAAAAGCACAGGTAAACTCAGAGAGATAGAGAGGAGGGAAAGTTGGAGGGAGGAGGAACAAGGTGGCAGAGGGAAGAGGGGGAGGGAAAGAGATGGGGTGTGGTGGATGGAGGGAGGGATGGAGAGGGGGAAGCAGGTGAAGGAATAAAGAGGGTGGAGGATGGTGCGGGCCGAGTCCCCACTGACACACTGCAGTGGTTAATCCAGATTAGAGTGTCTAAAATGGGTCGGCTAAATCTGCTGGCCAGCCAGTAATACAGACTGCTGTCAGTCCCAATCACACACACATACACACACACACACACATCCCCAACCCAGTTGCAATTCTATGGCAACAATTTTGAGTACAGTCGTGGTCAAAAGTTTTGAGAATGACACAAATACTAATTTTCACAAAGTC